GGACCAGAAGAGCTGAATCAGTCTAATAATCAATAATATACTTAAAATACCGATGTCTTGGCAGCAGTCATATAGACTCTTGTTCATCCATTTTGTTTTGTGCACATGACTTCGAACCTGATACTGTCTGATTTAGACCCAATGCATAGAGGTTAAGCTGTGGCCTTAGAAAATTATCTTGCCCAATTGTTCAAACCCATTCAACGTGCCGAATTGGACGTGATTAAAGAGATATTTATTAGTAAAGTGCTAGTAAGAGAGAAGAACATAACCAAACTGAAATATACTTACCTCAAGAACCAGCACACCTTATTCGTCTATGCCGTTTTGACCCCTGTGTCACCATAATCCACTAATTTTAACATCTAACTACAAAACAATTATTTATACAGTGATACATCGTTAACCCTAATCCTAATTATAATACTCCCGCTCACGAATCAAAGAATAATGGCATCATCAAAAAAAAATAATAATTATTGGTGATATATACTCTTGTTTGGTTGTCATTCCAATGATTATCTAGTATCTGCTGGTATCTGCTGGTATGGCTGTATATTATCGATAATGTCATCACACCACTAGGTTTCGCCTAACAACCATACCCAAGAACTTAAAAAAAAAAAAAGCAACTATTCAAAAACACTAATTGTGCCTATAAAAAGAAAAGTGCGTTAGTTGTGTTCGCGAACAAAAAGCAACTATTCAAAAACACTAATTGTGCCTATAAAAAGAAAAGTGCGTTAGTTGTGTTCGCGAACAAAAATGCAAAACAAAAAATCACACTTTTAAAAACGTCTCCAAAAAACTACGGTCGGAGTACAACCATAAAACCAAATAGACACTTCCGTCAAAAAAAGCCCATTCACGTTGAAGTACTTATGAAAAGAACTGAATTAGTAAAAGAATTAAACGGGTTAATAAATGTCGGGGATGATGCTGAAATTTTGACTTATTTTATTATGAAAAATTAAAAATTTTTTGGGGGTGTTTGTTTAGCTTTTTTTT